ATAATGCTGAAGTTTAAATGTATATCTCTGTTCCTGCTATATTGGACTGATTGTCTAAAAGATTGGCAGCTCATTGGAACATAAAAGGAGATGCATTTGGAGCATTTGGCAAACTTAGCATTACAGTTTGCTGTCAGTTCTGTTTACTTGTTGGGAAGGGAGAAAATGGTTACTGTCCAAGATTAATGTATTGTTTATTTAGTTTAAAAAAATAACTTCCAGGAACTGATATACATGGTCCAGCTGGGAATTAATATAGTAGATATGTTCAAGCCCGGGTAGGAGTGATGATTAAAGTGGAAGAACAGATTTTTTTTTCCCCTTGGTTACCCGCATTCAGGTTTCCCTTTTCTATTAAAAGCAGATGCAGTTAAGCAGTAGTGACATTTTAGTCCTGTTCTTGATTATAAAGCATTTGGAAGCTTGTTCAAAAAACATGTCTATTTCAAATGAAGAATGCAAGTTCAATTAAATAAGATACATTTTGCTTGCAAGAAACTGTCACAAATCTTATCAGGTACACCAGAAAGCAGGCAACATTATCATTCCATTTCTGTTTTTAATTTTGTAGGCTAATTTGCTATAAAAAAATTTGAAACATCAAAGGACATAATTATTTTCATCTTTTTTGAGAAAAAATGTTTGTTTTGTACACATAAGGGAAAACTTTGCAACTATGTAAAAGCCAAACTGCCAGGGGAAGAGAAGGGAATTTGGAAGGAGAAGAGGAACTGTCCAATATAAACTCTGATGCAGAAATAGAATCTAGGGTTTTATTGGCAAAAGGTTATCAATCATCACATGTAAATTGCATCAGAAGTTGTTGTTTGCAAATGCATTTAACAAAAATGCTATGACAATTCCATATGAAGAATGTAATTTGGCACAGCATTGACCTCACACACTTTAAGGAAGCTTTATGGTTATCATAGAGTAGGAGATGTGTTTACACTATGTAATAATAATAACACTTTTGTAATATTCCACCTTATCTCCCCAAGGGGACTCAGGGTGGATCACAGTTCACATACATGGCAGACATTCAATGCTAGAGATAAGACAGGACAGAAAGGAGGTATGTTGTGTCAAAGTCCAGCTTTTTGGCACCTTGGAGGCTGTGCTCGAATCCAGCAACAGGGGGTTGCTGTCACTCCATCCTCTATGATGAAGAGCCATCAGGACTCCCTCCTTCCCTTTGGTTGCCAGACATTTTCTGATCTATTTTTTATGGTGTTGTAAAATACCTCCCCCGCTTGTTTAGTAGTACCTACTTTTTCTACTTACAGCTCTAAGCTGTTTTTGAACTGCTTATGTAAGCAATGAGCTGGGCTGACAGTTGGGAGCTCATGCCGATCTGGGGCTTCGAACTGGCAACCTTTCAGTTGGTAGATCTTATTATTGCTGTTGATTTACCAGTTGTGCTAAAGGCCAACAGAAGCATTTTAGGACCACAGCAAGCCACATGAGAACCCTCCAGAGGCTTTTAAATTGCAACTCCCATCATCCCTCACCACTGGCTAATGGCAGATGCAAACCAACCACAATTTGGAGATGGCCAAAACGTTTTTCTAGTAAGCAGCCAGGAGTCTACGGTGTGGCTAGAAGACTTTCATCTGTGGCCTCCATGCTCCAACTGCTTTACTTGGTGGAAAGAAGCAAATTCAGGTCTGTCAGGGTTTTTTTTTCCTGGTCTGCCCTGTGGACCAGCTAAAAATCTTTGCACAGGACACCAAACTTTGTATATTATAATTTTCTTTAAAGCTGAGCCATTTTACAATGGATGTCAAAAGCAGTCACCAATTGTTTATTTATTTAATCATATCAGGAGCGAACCAATATATTTGAGAAAACACAAAGTTTAAAAACTTGGCATTCTATTAAATATCCTTTGACCAGTAGCTGGCCACTTGGAGTGCCTCTGGTGTTGCTATAAGAAGGTCCTCCATTGTGCATGTGGCGGGGCTCTAGCTGCATTGTAATAGGTGGTCTGTGGTTTGCTCTTCTCCACACTGGTCTGGGATTGAACCACATTGCATGTTTTTTAGTAGTATACCATTTGTGGCTCCATAAGCCACAAATGGTATACTACTAAGAAACATGCAATATGGTTTAATCCAAGACCCTCTTCTGGGTTCCTTATTAATTCACCCATGTTTGCGTAGGTGTCTTTAAAGTGCTTGTTGACTTGGTGGTTTTGCCAGTTCCTTCTTCTGAAACATATTCAACAGCACCTAGTATTTGTCAAAGTTTTCCTCCCAAGCACTAAGGGCTGACCCCACACTTTCCTTCCAAGAACAAACAGGATCTGGTACCTATCTTGCTTGAAAAATCAGACAGGGATTATGTGGGCACAGTCTTGTCAATAAACTAAAAAGTGTATTTAAATGTATTATAGAGAAGCACTTGAGACGAGGAAAGAGAAGTTTTCACCCTCAGTTAAAAGTAATTGGAGAAGGAGCTTAGCTTGTTCACCAGCCAAACCAACTGGGGACTTCAAGAATTATAGCTTTCTAAAAAATATTTTTAAAAAGTTACCATGTTCATGATTGCTTTAAGACTTGTGCAAAGTAGGAAACTGTCTTACACTAAGTCAGATCATATATATATTTCACTTAATGCTGTATGGCAGATCTCGAGGGTATTGGGCAGAGCTCATATCCTGACTTTTTAAAGTGGAAATTAACCAGGTTGAATTTGAGATCATTGCACAGCCCTCCTTTGAGGCAGGATGAGCTATTTATTTGAAGCAATGGACCCACAATCCAGCCACTAGTGCAGTGTTTCTCAACCTGGGTGTCGGGACCCCTGGAGGGGGTCACGAGGGGGGGTCAGAGGGGTCACCAAAGACCATCAGAAAACACAGTATTTTCTGTTGGTCACGGGGGTTGTGTGTGGGAAGTTTGGCCCAATTCTGTCATTGGTGAGATTCAAGGGGTTCTTTGATCGTAGGTGAACTGTAAATCCCAGCAACGACAACTCCCAAATATCAAGGTCTATTTTCCCCAAACTCCACCAGTCTTCACATTTCGGCATATTGAGTATTTGTGCCAAGTTTTGTCCAGATCCATAATTGTTTGACTCCACAGTGCTTTCTGGGTGCAGGTGAACTACAACTTCCAAACACAAGGTCAATGCCCACCAAACTCCTCTAGTGTTTTCTGTTGGTCATGGGAGTTCAGTGTGCCAAGGTTTGTTTAATTCCATCATTGGTGGAGTTCAGAATGCTCTATGATTGTAGGTGAACTATAAATCCCAGCAACTACAACTCCCAAATGACAAAATCAGTATCTCCCAACCCCACCAGTATTCAAATTTGGGCATATTGGGTATTTGTGCCAAGTATGAATGAAAATACATCCTGCTTATTGGATATTTACATTAGGATTCATAACACGAGCAAAATTAGTTATGATGTAGCAACAAAAATAATTTGATGGTTGGGGGTCATCACAACATGAGGAACTGTATCAAGGGGTCGCGGCATTAGGAAGGTTGAGAAACACTGCACTAGTGTATGCCTTCTCTAATGAAGTGTTGGCAAGCTTTCAGAGCCTGTCAGCTGCTTTCCTGCTGCAGAAAAGGTCACAAAAAGGAACATGGCTGAGAGATTTTCCACAGAGGATTCCCTCTGCTCTCAAGAAACCTTCTTCTTCAGAATGCAACACTACAGATGAAGAGCATCTGGATACTTGTCCCAAATAAAAAACATACACACTTGGAATTTAAGAATTCAGAACCAAGGAATTTGTTTTGGGCCCTAAAACCGAACAAAAGGCACAGTCTTTCCACATAGTGAACCATTCACTATCATTTTTAAAATTTCAGCAACATGCTTCATATTATTATTAAACTAGGAGTTGCTAATTCTTACTGGTGAACAGCACATTTCCCAAAGATCTACCTTCTATCCCTCCCAAACAACTGACATTTTAGTAACAGTCCTTTACTGACTTGGTCTCAGATAATTATCCCTATTTACATACTTAGAAAACAAGGAAAGCCTCTGAAAATTCCCTGAAGCTGACCTGGTAGAAATTCTCAAAGTAATACACACAAGAGAATTCTCAAAGTAATACACATTACAGAATTACTTCTGCAAAACAGTTCCAGCCCATGTTACAATATCTGCTGCCTAGGCATAGTGTAAAGATACTGTATAAGCAGCTGAAATTGTCAGTGCCATAATTAAATAATCTTGGACTGTGGTCTTTTCATAGCTGTGTACATTATTTCACTTATCTCAAAATACTAAGTTTTGGGACTTTCCTGTTTAACTCCCAACTGAAACATTCTGAATGGCATCAGAAGAAATAGAAACGAGATTATTCAGTATAATAAGATATGCTGATTTGTCATGATAGTTTGGGAGGCAGAACGGATGTTTCTTGAAGGTGAGTGTTCCAAAAGCTGCCGACAGAGATACCACACCGGGCTAGGTTTTGGGTCAAGTTTTTGGAGAAGAAACATACACAGTAGCAGTAAGAAACACGTAAGATTTAAGATTTAATTGCCTGTTTTGGAATTGGCTCCTTCAGTCTGCATTGACTCCAACATTCAGCTACATACGTTCAAAGCATAGACAGGAAGCCATCAGGGTTAGCTAATACCTCCTAACAAAGGATTCTCCCAGGCAGGAAGCAGACAGGCTTTGAAGCTGCAAGGCAATTCAGTGCTAATCAAGGTGGCCAACTGCAACATTCATACTTGCCTCAAACAGACAAGAGTTCTTTCTCTCCCCCGCCCCTTCCGGACATGCCAGATACATAAATTCCACTTGCCTCGTTTTCAACTATCCTCACAACCTCTGAGGATGCCTGCCATACATGTGGGCGAAACATCAGGAGAGAATGCTTCTGGAACATGGCCATACAGTCCGGAAAACATACATAAACCTATAGTATTGCAGTTACATATGAATAGGAATTCCAAAGAAGTTGATCAAAAGATAGCTTTAACCACGACTTCTTCCAAGTGACTGTACAAAATAAGTCTTAACACACTTGTCAGGAATTAAATACTTTATTCTAGAGCTATTTCTTCTGAGAGCTGCTATTATTATCCACAGATTTTGCAACATATCTTGTCTAATGCCGTGCCTGTTTTAATGTTCAATACTGGAATTTGTCAGGTAAAAATGTTGTGGTTGTTTAAATATTTCACAGCCAAGATAGAGATTAATAATTCCGCAATTTTTCAATCCCAACCCAATTTACTGGCGAGCACAACACAATGGTAATCAAAACTCAAAGGTCAAAAGCAATCAGGTCACTAATCTGGGTATATCATTGTTATAATTGCCACACTGATAATATTAGGACCACATAGTTGCTCAATCTTACAATAGAAATCTTGGTAAAAACATGATAAATGATCAGAACTTTTTCAAGCTTTTTTCAACTTGATCGCTGTACTAACGAGGAATCAGAATGATTTATAAGAAAAAAGGGCAGCATAACTCAACAAGCCGTAGTGCTTCCATTACTGGAAATTAAACAAGCCAGTCCAATCCAATCCAGAGTGCAGCAAGATGTGATATCATGTCATGTGAATGTGGTAAGGATTGCAATCTTCCAAAAGGTCATTATTATTGCTACTAAGGACGTCCATGTCATTTGCCTGTCAGCTTCAAGATGGTTTTTACCATAGCCCCAATGCCATCAAAAATGTGATGTAAGTCAGTTTCACACATAAAGGCTGGGGTCGTTACCACCTTGTGCTTCGTGTCCACATGGGCTTCATGGAGTATTGTTAAGGAAAACAGAAAAGTTGCATTGCCTAATAAAACAATAATACGCCTCCCATGCACACCTCCAAATTTTCCTGAAATCCTAGACACTGACAGACAGTGGTTTCTAAACCACAGATGTGGGTGAAACGTCAGGAGAGAATGCTTCTAGAACAGTGGTTCTCACCCTGTGGGTCTCCAGGTGTTTTGGCCTACAACTCCCAGAAATCCCAGCCAGTTTACCAGCTGTTAGGATTTCTGGGAGTTGAAGGCCAAAACATCTGGGGACCCACAGGTTGAGAACCTCTGTTCTAGAACATGGCCATACTGCCCGGAAAACTCACACATATCAGTAATTGTACTGTCATAAAACAATTATCTTGATTCTGGAAATCTAGGAAAGGTTTTTAGCTATTCTGCCTCAAAGCACTGGTGAAAATTTATCACTTGATGCATTTGGCTCTTTGGATGCGTTCCTGAAAGTTCTTCAATTCAGCACTGTGAAATATTAATTTCTTATATGGAATTTGTCTCCAAATATATGAGAAATTGTAGAAAAAGGGAAAGATTCTTCATTACTACCAGCCAGAAAAAAGGATATTGTTACTTCTTTAACATGGTGTTTTCCTCCCAGTGCTTTAATGGCCCCGGCAGTTCCAGCATAAGGCCATTTACCCCCTTGCTCTTCTTCATGTCCTACAGTGACTTCGGTACCTGGAAGAACCTTGGCAGCCAAGACAGGTGAAATGCAACACAAACTAAAAGAAAAGAGACAAACACTCTATTGAGACTCTTTCTTAAGAGGATTTACTATGTTGTACAACTACATTTACACCTTTCTTCCATTATTAAAACAATTCACAAATACTAAAAAATGCAGACACATCACTAAAATTACCAATGTTTACACCTGATCAGGAAGGAAGGAATTTAACTGCAGTTATTTTATGACAATTGACAAACATGGCTCCTCTTTTCACTATTACCTCAGGAGATACGTTATCTTCTGATTTCCATTTTTTTCAGCTATTAATTTCCTATAACAAGATCAGCAACATAAAGGCTTAACAAGCTATACTTATCATGCTATTGGCTGTGTCTCAGCAATGTTGGAAGGGTATTCACAGATATCCTAAAGGCCAAAATAATATTACATAAGCAATGCAATTTCACATTTTGTTCTAGATGAAAAACAACCTGTGGAAGAGACTGCTTAAGCCCTTTACACATAAGCATTGCCACCCTCAAACTGCTTTTCCACCTGCAAGTGAATACTTAACTGTGGGAAGTACTATAGCTAACAGGAAATGTCAGAGAGAAAATATTCAGCAGCTTCTCTCTATGTTCTTGTTCTTTTTCTCATGGCAGCAATGCCAAAGTACCTTTTCATTTAAAAAGATCAAGAAAGGAAAAATACTGACTTTGACTTTCCATTACAGGTTATTAATAACCCTTTGCTGTCTGTTAGGTTATATTTCACATATCTGGTTAGTGGAAAAAGTGCATAAAGCTTCACACAAGGGAAGTTATGTGAAATTAGCTAGAAAAGAAAACAGCAGCAGGCAATTGGGTGGATAGATAGGGAGTTCAGAGAGAGGAAACCGAGCTTGAAAAAGGCCCAAAAGCAGATTGGAGTCGATTGGGTGGAAGAAACAACATTTGAGGGGAAAGTCATGCAGAAAATTTACAAAAATACTGTAGATGATCAATATGCCGCCTACATCAAGAAGTCAGGAGTTAGTGAAAAAGTTGAAGGAAACATGTAGTCAGCCCTCAGCTTCCACAGAGGGGCACACAACCCCCTAAACAAAGAGGAAATGCCAATAGATATAATGAATGAAGGAACGTGTCACATCCTGATAGTGGTCTTCCTGGAAGTTGGCCATTATGGGAAACAGGATGCTGGATGAAATAGGCCTTTGGTGTAATCCAGCAGAACTATTCAAGTTGTTCAAACATTATTAATACATTAACAATTGTTCTTCCCTGACTTATGATCCATTAAGCCAATAAATCAGTCCTCCTGTTGTCTCTTGTGTTCTTACAACCCCATTTTGCACTCCAAAGCAGATAACAAAAACATTCATTATTGGCAGGCTCAAATTTGACTTATAGAGATCCAAAATATACAGGCATAAATAAGGCTTTCACTGAACATTTTCTTGGCACCACTGTAGCATTCCGTGTAATTTGAATTCTGAGATTTTACCACATAAAAATCACATTGAAATTATTTCTTATACAATGTACATACCCAATGGGCTTCCCAGCTTTGTGGAAATCCTTTAACACACGTTCAACATCTCTGTTCACTTTACAATCTTTTCCATCAACAGCAAAGGTAGACCTACCACACAAAGAAAAGCCCATATGAGAAATTACTAGTCATAACACTCTAATATGTACCCTAATGTTAAAGTAACAATTCTTAACATAAGTAAGCATGGTGACCATGCTCAATTTAACTAGAAAAACGTTTAGGAATGCAAATACTTTAAAAAAGAAATTTGTTACAGGAAAGAAACAGAAAATAATCAAGAGAATGAAATCACATCATTTCTTTTCAGTGTGTGTCAATGACCGCCCCCCCCCCCCCCATACATAGATACACACACACATTTAACTCTGTGGCAAGAATAACAGAAAATGCAACAATAGTGTTTCCCCTTCAATGCCACCTATAAAGTCACCAGGGTTCTGTCTAAAAACCAAGCTCAGGCGTAATTACTATAGACATTTCCCTTGATGCAGAGTAGGCTGCACCTCCATCCTCAATGCAGAGTAGGTTGTACCTCCATTCTTAGCCCTATCATTTCTGGAAAGTTAACAATTCTTATCAGCCTTCTTCAATGTAATGTAGTCTAACAGATCTTGAAGATAAAACCAAATCACTTCCAGCCAACATACTTGGAGGGCAGCAGACACATTGAGTAACGCAGGCACATACATGGAAGTTGCTGAAGTAATTGTTCATGTTTATTCATTCACTAGCTTGGGGACCCGGCGCTGCCCGGGTTATTAGAGAAAGTGGGTAATGGCGGTTCTGTATGCCAAGTTTGGTCTTTATCAGTCATTGGATGAGGGTGGCAGTGGTTTCAGTTAAGTGAGTGAAGGTACTGCAAGTCCCATCATCCAAAGTCCATCCTCCTTCAAACTGCAACAGGATGTAGAGTGGGTCATGGGGGCTCTGTGTGCCAAGTTTGGTCTTGATAGGTCATTAGATGAGGGTTGCAGCAATCTTGGGAAGGAAGTGAAGGTACTTGAAGTCCCATCATCCATGGTCTGTTCTTCTCCAAACTGCACCAGGATGTAGAGTGGGAAATTGGGACTCCATGTTCCAAGTTTGGTCTTGATTAGTCATTGGCGAGGGTCTCAGTGGTCTCAGAAAGTGAGTGAAGGTACTGCAAGTCCCATCATCCATCTCCAATTTTTTCCAAACGACACCAGGATGTAAAGTGGGTCATGAGAGGTCTATGTACCAAGTTTGGTCTTGATCAGTCATTGGAAGAGGTTCGCAGAGGTCTCAGAATGTGAGTGAAGGTACTGCAAGTCCCATCATCCATGGTCAACCCTCCTAAAAAATTGCAGCAAGATGTAGAGCAGGTCACGGGGGCTTGTGTGCCAAGTTTGGTCTTGATCAGTCATTGGCGAGGGTCTCAGTGGTCTCAGGAAGTGAGTGAAGTGACTGCAAGTCCCATCATCCATTGACAAATTCTTCCAAACCACACCAGGATGTAGAGTGGGTCATGCGGACTCTCTGTGTAAATTGCGGTCCTGATCCATCATTGTTGGCAGTTGTAATGGTCTTAGGAAGGGAGTGCAGGTATTGCAAGTCCCATCGTCCATGGTGCATCCTCCTCCAAACTGCACCAGGATGTAGAGTACGTCACGGAGACTCGGTGTGCCAAGTTTGGTCTTTATCGGTAATTGGATGAGGGTTGCAGTGGTCTCAAGAATTGAGCAATGGTACTGCAAGTCCCATAATCCATGGTCCACCCCCAGCCAAACCACACCAGGATGTAAAGTGGGTCATGAGAGGTCTATGTGCCAAGTTTGGTCCTGATCAGTCATTGGATGAGGTTAACAGCGGTCTCAGAATGTGAGTGATGGTACTGCAAGTCCCATCATCCATGGTGCATCCTCCTCCAAACCACAACAGGATTTTGAGTGCGTCATGGAGACTCAGTGTGTCAAGTTTGTTCTTTATTGGTAATTGGATGAGGATTGCAGAGGTCTCAGGAATGGAGGGAAGGTACTGCAAGTCCCATAATCCATGGTCCATCCCGGGTCAAAGCACACCAGGGCGTAAAGTGGGTCATGAGAGGTCTACATTGGAAGAAGAGGGAAGGTGGCTACCTCTTTTGGGGCTTAGGTGGGAGAAGGCAACCTAGAAGGCTTGCAAGGATTTGGCAGAAGGGTCAAAGGAGGCCGGGGTGAGAGGGCTTTGGGGGCCAGAAATGTTCAGAAGCAGAAAAAGGCATCATTAAAAATATAATAATTGTTTTTCTCTGCTTTCATTGGAATAATGTAGTGCCATACCTTGTAGAAGGACAATGATTTTTCAGATCACCCAGTAAGAAGCTGCCTTCTTTGACACAATGTAGAAGAAGAGGGAAGGTGGCTGCCTCTTTTGGGGCCTAGCTGGGAGAAGGCAACCTAGAAGGCCTGCAAGGACTTAGCAGAAGGCCAATCAGAAACCATATGCAAATTTCCTTCTCTCATGTCCCTGCTTCTTTCATTAACCCTCTTTGCCACCAGGGGGCCCTGTTGAGGTTGGCCAATCAGAAACTATATGCAGATTTCCTTTCCCCTCTCAGCCACTTGAGAATCTTGGAACTCTCAGGCTGGCCAATCAGAGGCCATATGCAAATAGCACCACAGTGGCAGCCAATCAGAAAGCTGCCACAAACTCCTACCTACGTTCTCCCTCTGTCCTCCCTCGCCCACAAACACTCTCTTTTATTATATACTAGCTTGGGGACCCGGCGTTGCCCGGGTTATTAGAGAAAGTGGGTAATGGTGGTTCTGTATGCCAAGTTTGGTCTTTATTGGTCTTTGGATAACGGCTGCATTATTTTCAGGAAGTGAGTGAAGGTACTTGAAGTCCCATAATCCATGGCCCATCCCCCTACAAACAGCAGTAGGATATAGAGTGGGTCATGGGGGCTCTGTGTGCCAAGTTTGGTCTTTATCAGTCATTAGATGAGGGTGGCAGTGGTGTCAGTAAGTGAGTGAAGGTAGTGCAAGTCCCATCATCCAAAGTCCATCCCCTTTCAAATTGCAGCAGGATGTAGAGTGGATCATGGGGGCTATGTGTGCCAAGTGTGGTCTTGATTGGTCATTAGAAGAGGGTTGCAGCAATCTTCGGAAGGGAGTGGAGGTACTTGAAGTCCCATCATCCATGGTCTGTCCTCCTCCAAACTGCACCAGGATGTAGAGTGGGTCATTGGAGCTCCATGTGCCAAGTTTAGTCTTGATTAGTCATTGGCGAGGGTCTCAGTGGTCTCAGGAAGTGAGCAAAGGTACTGTAAGTCCCATCATCCATCTCCAAAGTTTTTCCAAACAACACCAGGACGTAAAGTGGGTCATGAGAGGTCTATGTGCCAAGTTTGGTCTTGATCCGTCATTGGATGAGGTTTGCAGAGGTCTCAGAATGTGAGTGAAGGTACTGGAAGTTCCATCATCCATGGTCCACCCTTCTCCAAAACTGCAGCAGGATGTAGAGTGTGTCATGGGGGCTCTGTGTGCCAACTTTGGTCTTGATTGGTCATTAGATGAGTTTTGCAGCAGTCTTGGGTAGTGGAGGTACTTGAAGTCCCATCATCCATGGTCTGTCGTCCTCCAAACTGCTCCAGGATGTTGAGTGGGTCATTGAAGCTCCATGTGCCAAGTGTAGTCTTGATGAGTCATTGGCGAGGGTCTCAGTGGTCTCAGGAAGTGAGTGAAGTGACTGCAAGTCCCATCATCCATTGTCAAATTCTTCCAAACTGCACCAGGATGTAGAGTGGGTCATGCTGGGTCTCTGTGTAAATTGTGTTCCTGATCCATCATTGTTGGCAGTTGTAATGGTCTTAGGAAGGGAGTGCAGGTATTGCAAGTCCCATCGTCCATGGTGCATCCTCCTTCAAACTGCACCTGGATGTAGAGTGCGTCATGGAGATTCAGTGTGCCAAGTTTGGTATTTATTGGTAATTGGATGAGGGTTGCAGTAGTCTGAAGAATTGAGCAATGGTACTGCAAGTCCCATAATCCACGGTCCATCCCTGGCCAAACCACACCAGGACGTAAAGTGGGTCATGAGAGGTCTATGTGCAAAGTTTGGTCCTGATCAGTCATTGGATAAGGTTAACAGCGGTCTCAGAATGTGAGTGGTGGTACGGCAAGTCCCATCATCCATGGTTCATACTCCTCCAAACTGCAGTAGGATGTAGAGTGGGTGATGGGGGCTGTGTGTGCCTATTTCAGTCTGTATTGGTAGTGTTCTGACCCAGCCCCCGGCCTTTCCTTTCCTCTCTTTGTCATCTCAGAATGTTGGATTTGAGGCTGGCCAATCAGAGACCATATGCAAATTTCCTTCTGTCATGCCCCGTTTCTGCCATGAACCCTTTTCTCCACCAGGGGCTCCTATTGAAGCTGGCCAATCAGAGACCATATGCAAATAGCACCACAGCGGCAGCCAATCAGAACGCTGCCACATACACCTTCCGCCCTCCGCACCTCTGTCCGATACAAACAAACACTCTTCTTTATTATATATACAGATATAGATATATTATATATATAGATATAGATAGATATAGATATGCACAGTGGTCAGGCTGACTGCACCGGGACTGTGGCGCAGCTGGCTGAGTGTCAGCTGTATTAAGATCACTCTGACCACAAGGTCATGAGTTCGAAGCCAGCCCGGGTTGGAGTGGGTTTCCAACCAATTGTGTGTAGCCTGTTGTCGACCTTTGCAACCCGAAAGACAGTTGCATATGTCAAGTAGGAAAATAAGGTACCACCTTAAAGTGTGGGGAGGCTAAATTAACTGATTCATGAGGCCATAAAGAAGACTCCAGCAAAGCATTCCAGTGGGGAAGCATGCGGGGAATGTGGTAGTGCTTCATCAGCGTCGCAGATGGACAATGAAAGCGACAGCTCCCCTGGCGGCCAGAAAAAGTTAAATAGCCTCTGTCTATGTCTGTATATGTTTGTATGTCAAAAATTGGCATTGAATGTTTGCCATGTATGTGTACACTGTAATCCGCCCTGAGTCCCCTGTGGGGTGAGAAGGGCGGAATATAAAAGCTGTAAATAAATAAATAATAAATAACATTATCCAAGAAGAAATTACACTTTTTATAGATGCATCAAAGTGACTTGGTGTGCCAAGAAATTTGTAAGTTGCTCAACAGTCTGAGAGCCAATGTTAACAGTCGATCACAGCTGGATTCAGCAGTCAAAACAGAGTATTTCTTCTCCCTTCTTAAGGTGTTACATCAGGTATGAGTAACATCCAGCTCATTTCCAACATGACACTCTTTTCTCAGCCTCTGTTCCCTGCACAGCAATTAGGATTGTCTTTTCAAAAACTTTCATATGTTCTAATGAAAACTCTTTCAAGATATTGGGGGGAGGGGGGGCTACAGAGCTCAAAAAATGTTCTCCCCACATGCTACAACATAGATCCCCGACCTCCCTAAGCAGCAATTTAGCTTTTCAAATAAGTTGTACTGTTGCCAATGGATGCTTCATGCCCCTTACTGCCTTGATGCCATTGTGGATAGAAAGAATGAAGGCAGAGGAGGGAGGGAGTTAAGGAGGAATAAACGAGGGCAGTGAAAAAGAGAAAAAGGAAAGGGAGAGACTGAGGGATGGTGATGGGTCTGGACTTGCCTGAGGATAGGGATACACCTCATGGATAGAAAATTCCTCACTTCCCAATTCCACATAGTTTACACAATTTTTCCATTACTGGTGTATCTACTGATCAAAGTAACATTCCAGTAGATGAAGATCAATAATTCTTCCAGTGAAGAAAAAAATCAAAAATGAAATACTGAATTAATCTAATCCTCTAAAAATAACTGCAAGCTGTTAGTCCAAACAAGAGTAGACACAATGATCAATGGGATTTACCTGTATGTATAGAACAAGTCACATTGTCTCAGCTTCAAAGGCATACAAAGTCAAACACTGAACAAATCTTGTCAAAAAACCCATATGTTCACTTTAGGGTCGTCACATTTGAAGGCACACAACAACACCTATTATTATTGTGTAAGTTACTACAGTCATCCCTCCACATTTGCAGATTTGATCATTTTAAATGGTAACAGCAATAATAAACCAACATATTGTGGTAACTTATAAAATTAAATACTCAACAGGTTTTTAGCAGCTCCAAATCCTCCAGGAAATATCACAGCATCATGATCATCTGCAGCAAGTTTGGCCAAGTCTGTGATTTTACCACGAGCGATCCTTGCTGATTCTGCCAAGACATTTCTTGAGGTAAAAAAAGAAGAGCAATGGCTGGGTTTATGGGAAATTATTTTCAAACTACAGTATCCTCCCCCCCCCCCCCCCCCCAAAATACTCACAATTCACCAAACAGCTACAACTAGTAAAAAATACACTTGCACTGAGCAAAAAAACCTGAATAATGAAGCTTTAGAAAAATCAAGGCAAAGACTGATAGTAAATATTTAATAAAATATTTATTCATATACTTTTCCCTAGCCACTTGAGTGCACTTACATTATTATTTTACCAATAAACTTGGTAATGTTCACTACCAATCTAAAATTCTAAACCATTATTTCAGACAACCAAACTTCCCAATCTCCCACAAAAAAAACCTTCAAAGACATATCTACATCATACAAAAAGGGACTTGCACATTAAATAAAGGCATACCTTGATTCCCCTTCAGTTGGTTGCCCTTTGCTATGGTCAATAACATGCATCTGAGAAATATTTGGGGCATATATCTGAACATCAGCTCCTCCACGGCTCAGATGGACTAATATGCTGTGAAATACATTGAAAGATACAGAAAGGGAAGGCAAAACAACAATCAGATTAAAATTAATTTAACTTACAATCAAATCTTGACAGGAAATATCGGGGGGGGGGGGGGCAGAAGAAGAGGCACTCCAAATCGCTTATGTGAGAAATTACACATCAGTAATTGAACTGTTTACAAGTCAACTGATAATCATTTGGAAAGCATATAATTATACAAATATACTTACGCAGAGGCTTCGTGTATTTCTGTACCATCGTAAACGCCACATCCAGACAGGACCTAAAAAAAATAAAGTTTTATGATTATTGGCATCTGGTTACCAATGTGAAAAGGGAATCCCATGCCTTTGGTTTGGCCCAATTTGGTTCCTCTCATGTGCTTATAGTCAAGATCACACTCTACAAGCTAACACATTTGGAGACAATATGACAGCAACCAGCATTGCAAAAGACAACAATGGTATCAAACCTGCTAATAGAACTGACACAGTTGAAACACGTGAGTATAGTACACCCTATGAGGAGCAATCTATCCATTTGTAAGATTGGCTGCAATCTCAAATATGCCTATCCTAAATTATCTGATATTACACAGAATAAAAAAAAAATCACAAAATAGGAAGAAACCACAAGGGTGATCCAATCCACCCTCTCATGCAGGAAAACACAACCATAACTCTCCTGATTCATGGGTATCCAGTATCTGTTCAAAACCCTCTAGGGCCCTTCCACACAGCGATATAACCCAGGATATCCAGGCAGATAATCTACAATACCTGCTTTGAACTGGTTTATTTGGGTCCACACTGCCTTATAACCCAGGTCAAATTAGATAATATGGGATTTTATTCAGCTGTGTGGAAGGGGTCTACATTATCTGCTTTGAACTGGATTAGATGAGTCCACGCTGCCATATAATCCAGTTAGAATCATAGAATCAGAGTTGGAAGAGACCTCATGGGCCATCCAGTCCAACCCCCTGCCAAGAAGCAGGAAAATCGCATTCAAATCACCCCTGACAGATGGCCATCCAGCCTCTGTTTAAAAGCTCCCATAGAAGGAGCCTCCATCACACTTCGGGGCAGAGAGTTCCACTGCTGAACAGCTCTCACAGTCAGGAAGTTCTTCCTAATGTTCAGGTGGAATCTCCTTTCCTGTAGTTTGAAGCCATTGCTCTGTGTCCTAGTCTCCAGGACAGCAGAAAACAAGCTTGCTCCCTCCTCCCTATGACTTCTCCTCACATATTTATTACATGGCCCTCATCATGTCTCCTCTCAGCCTTCTCTTCTTCAGGCTAAACATGCCCAGCTCTTTAAGCCGCTCCTCACAGGGCTTGTTCTCCAGACCCTTTATCATTTTAGTCACCCTCCTCTGGACACATTCCAGCTTGACAATATCTCTCTTCAATTGTGGTCCCCAGAATTGGACAATGTGTTGCAGGTGTGGTCTAACCAAGGCAGAATAGAGGAGTAAAACAGATAAATAGTTCAAAACAGATAATCTGTATTTTATATGAGAGTATAGAAGGAGCCTGACAGACTCTCAACCAATTCAACCTAGTTTGTGGCAGCCACAAAAATGAAGTTTCTGCAGTATAAAAACTACTTTCCAAGTAAGTATCACGCAGTTAAATAGGAAATAACACTTTCAAACCAGGAACAGATTCCCCCCCCCCCCCCCCCCCATTTTGTTATTGGAAGAAATTCAAGGAAGAATAACCATGGGTTTAATCCACTGATTCTATGAAGTTTTATTTAATGTGAGTTACTGAAGATAATGTAATTGAAAGAAGTCTGTAAATTTTAAAATATGCAAAGTGTTTGACAAAGGGCCCTTCCACACAGCCATATAACCCAGAATATCAAGGCAGGAAATCCCACAATATATGCTTTGAACTGGTTTACCTGAGCCCACACTCTGATGTGGGATTTCCTGCCTTGATATTCTGGGATATAGGGCTGTGTGGATGGGCTCTAAGTTATCTGAGTTATATCTGCGATATATTCCAGTTCAGAGTTAATGTGGGATTTTATTCAGTTGTGTGGAAGGGGCCAGAGCTGCCGCCAAGGATGTGAATCACTACGACGGAACACAGGTTTATTTCCAGAGAAAAAAACATCAAATGTGTTAGTGTATTGCCAAAGGCTTTCATGGCTGGAATCATTGGGTTGTTGTAGGTTTTTTCAGGCTATATGGCCATGTTCTAGAGCAGGGGTCCTCAAACTAAGGCCCGGGGCCGGATGCGGCCCTCCAAGGTCATTTACCCGGCCCTCACTAAGGGTCAACCTAAGTCTGAAACTACTTGAAAGCACACAACAACAATCCTATCTTATCAGCCAAAACCAGGCCTACACTTTCCATTGAAATACTAATCTATATATATAAAAATGTTCTCTGCGTAATGAGTACCCTAAAAATAAAAGAACCAATGAACGAAATCACACCAAATTTGACAACAAAACGTCTCACAACACAAGGAGTGACCATCACTCAAAAAAAATATGATTTTGTCATTTGGGAGTTGTAGTTGCTGGGATTTATAGTTCACCTATAAGCAAAGAGCATTCTGAACCCTACCAACGACGGAATTGAACCAAACTTGGCACACAGTTGTCCCATGCCCAACAGAAAATACTGGAAGGGTTTGGTGGGCAGTGTCCTTTGTTTTTGGAGTTGTAGTTCACCTACATCCAGAGATCACTGTGGACTCAAACAATGATGGATCTAAACCAAACTCTACACGAATACTCAATATGCCCCACTGTGAACACTGGTGGAGTTTGGGGAAAATAGAATCTCGACATTTGGGAGTTGTAGTTGCTGAGATTTATAGTTCACCTACAATCACAGAGCATTCTGAACCCCACCGACGATAGAACTGGGCCAAACCTCCCACATAGAAATCCCATGACTACCAGAATGGGCCACAGCAACGTGTGGCAGGGGACGGCTAGTAAGTTTATATTTGTGAAAAATGTTCTTAATTTTAATTATTGTATTGTTTTAAAATGTTTTTTGCACTATAAATAAGATATGTGCGGTGTACATAGGAATTCATTCATGTTTTTTCGATTATAATCTGGCCCTCCAACAATTTGAGGGACTGTGACCTGGCCCTCTGTTTAAAAAGTTTGAGGACCCCTGTTCTAGAGGCATTCTTTCCTGACGTTTCGCCTACATCTATGGCAAGCATTCTCAGAGGTAGTGACCTCACTACCTCTGAGGATGCTTGCCATAGATGCAGGCGAAACGTCAGGAGAGAATGCCTCTAGAACAGTGTTTCTCAACCTGTGGGTCCCTAGGTTTTGGGCTTCAACTCCCAGAAATACTAACAGTTGGTAAACTGGCTGGGATTTCTGGGAGTTGTAGGCCAAAACACCTGGGGACCCACAGGTTGAGAACCACTGCTCTAGAACATGATCACATAGCCCGAAGAAACCCTACAACAACCCAAATGTGTTAGTGCTGCAACACGGTTTGGCCATGGCGTTGGCCTCATCCACACTGGTCATTTAATGCAGTTGGAAGGTAGCTTCAAACTCCCCATCAAAGGACACGAAAGGAAGTGCTCTGGGGTTTTGTGCCATCTTTACCCGGGCCTTAAACTGGTCCCAGGACTTTCTGCGTCATCATTTGCAGAGCGAAACCACTTCTTTCAAGGCCAGTTTGAAGCTGACTTCAGTGGTCAGTGTTGCTGGCGCCATGATTCCGCATGCGCCCGCGGCTGCAGGGCCCCTTGGCCTGGCCACTCACCACGGCTACCCTGGCCCCGCGGAGGCGCGCCGACGAGACGTGGAGAGCCCGCCACCGCTGCAGCAGCGCCTGCGCCAACAGGCCCGGCCTCACCCCCACGAGGCTGGCGGCAGACATGGCGGACGGGTGGCAGGGAGTGCAGTGGGAGGAGGCCCTGGGCTGCCCCGGCTGTGAGCGGCCCAAGGGCAATGGAGGCGCCGCCTTCCCTGTGGGCCGGGCAAGGAGGCAATGCAGCAGCGCCACCCAGAGGCCGGAGGCGGAACCTCTCCTCTGCCAAAACTCTATCCATCTATCTATCTATCAATTAGTCGCCCTCCTCTGGAATGTGTCCAGTGGAGGGCGACTAAAATGATCAAGGGTCTGGAGGACAAGCCCTATGAGGAGCGGCTTAAAGAGCTGGGCATGTTTAGCTTGAAGAAGAGAAGGCTGAGAGGAGACATGATAGCCTTGTATAAACAGAGGCGGCCCTAGGTAATTTTCAGTGGTAAGCAAACAGTATTTTGCCCCCCGCAACCAATCACTGATATATATTTTCTGTTCGTCGTGGGAGTTCTGTGTGCCATATTTGGTTCAATTCCATCATTGGTGGAGTTCAGAATGCTCTTTGATTGTAGGTGAACTATACATCCCAGTAACTACAACTCACATATGTCAAGGTCTATTTTCCCCCAAGAGCGCCTCAAGAGCATCCCTGGGCAAAATCAACTATACTGCAAATGCTTACTTTGCGTAATGGGTTGAGCCGCCCCTGTGTATAAATGTGTGAGAGGAAGTCACAGCGAGGAGGGAGCAAACTTGTTTTCTGCTGCCCTGGAGACTTGGATGCGGAACAATGGCTTCAAGCTACAAGAAAGGAGATTCCATCTGAACATTAGGAAGAACTTCCTGACTGTGAGAGCTGTTCAGCAGTGGAACTCTCTGTCCCGGAGTGTGGTGGAGGCTCCTTCTTTGGAAGCTTCTAAACAGAGGCCAGATGGCCATCTGTCGGGGGTGCTTTGAATGCAATTTTCCTGCTTCTTGGCAGGGGATTGGACTGGATGAACCATGAGGTCTCTTCCAACTCTATGATTCTATGATTCTAAAGCAGTGTTTCCCAACCTTTTTTTGACCAGGGACAGCTTTGACCAGGGATCACTTGACCAGGGAGCACTCTCCAACACTAGTACCAAAAGGATTACGAATCAGTTTTTGGTCAACTTTAGATTCAGTTTGGTTATCTGGGGTGCCGATTCAGAAAATCGCATTAGGTAGACCACATCAGCTCTAGCTGCTGATACAGAACATATGCCATCCAGTAGTCGCCATCTGCTGGTCTACAGAAAACCATCTATATAAATAAAAATGTAATGTTCATTTGTGGGATTAACATAACTCAAAAACCACTGGATGAATTGACACCAAATTTGGACACAATACACTGATCAGGCCAACAAGTGACCATCACTCATAAAAACAATGAAAAACACAGCACAAGTGACTTAAAAGCCAAAAAAATTAAAAAAATTACAACACATGTGCAAACCCACATATATATATATACACACACACAAAACACATATACACAGATTAGGCCACAGCAACGCGTGGCAGGGCACGGCTAGTATTTATAACCTTATTTTAGGTTTTAGTGGGCTGCGTCCCACTGGTCTACAGTAAACATTTCCTGGAGAATGTGTTGTTGAAGGCTTTCATGGCAGGAATCACTGGGGTTGCTGTGAGTTTTCCGGGCTGTTTGGGGTTGCCTTTGAAGATGGTTCAGAAGCTTCAAATAGTCCAATGAGAGGCAGCCAGGTTAATAACTAAGGCAGCATACAGGGAGCATACAACTCCCATGTTACGCCAGCTCCACTGGCTGCCTGTTTGCTACCGGGCACAATTCAAAGTGTTGGCTTTGGCATATAAAGCCCTAAACGGCCCCGACCCAGTTTACCTGTCCAAAAGCAACTCCCTTTACAAACCACTGTGAAAACTAAGATCTTCTGGGGAGGCCCTGCTCTCGGTCCCACCACCATCACAGGTGCGTTTGGTGGGGACGAGAGACAGGGCTTTCTCAGTGATTGCCCCCAGTTATGGAACTCCCTTCCTGGCAATATTAGATCAGCCTCTCCCTCCTGTCCTTCAGAAGTATGGTGAAGACCTGGCTGTGGGACCAAGCCTTTGGGGCAGTGCAATGAGGCAATAACAGAATGGTGCCCTGAGATGGTTTTTAAGCAACTGATTTTAAAGTGGATATAAGTGATTTTAATGTTTGTATATATTTATAGTTTTATGTCCCAGCATTGAATGTTTGCTCTATGTATGTTGTGCTTCACCCTGAGTCCCCTGCGGGGTGAGAAGGACAAAATATAAATGTTTTAAATAAATAATAAATAAATGTTCCAGAAATATTCTCTCCTGAAGATGTGGGTGAAACATCAGGAGAGAATACTTCTTGAACATGGCCATACAGCTCAGAAAACTCACAGCAACCCAATTTCCTGGAGAACTTACAAAATAAACTTTAATATGCCAAACAATAAAGTCACTTTGGCCATATATCCACATTAGCTGCATCAGTGGTTTTTTTTTGGGGGGGGGGAGGAAGGTCAGCCACATGACCTTGGAGGTGTCTGTGGACAATGCCAACTCTTCAGCTTAGAAATGGAGATGAGCACCAACCTCCAGGCTCGGACACAACTAGATTTAATGTCAGGGAAAACCTTTACCATTACTACCAGGAAATGTTACTGTTAATTTCCTCTTGCTGTTGATTAAAGCAGCATGTGGAATCTTGGCATTCTGACAGCCATTCATAATACACCATCTGGGGGAGAAAATTCTATTTACTTTCACCAATGTTTCTAAAGCGTTGTTATTGTTAACATAAGCAGATATAATTTATCCATTGTTCCCTTTCAAACTTCCATTCATATAAACATAAACAATACTAGACCATTCATTATGATCATAAAATAGCTTTAATGTATGAGACCCAGTATTATATACTGCCCTTATAAAAAAAAAAAGGATTAACAGGTAACAAAACATACTTTAGAAACCTCTTGAAGCCATAAACACACATTCATCTGACTACTGTATTTCCATTCCGATATCTAGAAATACTTTAATAGATGAGGAACATTGCAAACACAATATGCTTGATCAATTTTTAGAAGTCTTGCTCAACTATGGAATTTTGCTTTGTTTACAAAACTTTAATTCAGATCTAAATCCAGTGTTCCTTATATTTATTTATTCTCATAATGAATTAATCATACAGAAGTGATTTTGTACCAAAAGCCATTTAGGCAAAGGGTTGCTGTAAGTTTTTTGGGCTGTATGACCATGTTATGAAGCAATCTCTCCTGATGTTTAACCTGCATCTACGGCAGGCATCCTCAGAGGTTGTGAGGCCTTACAGCAACCCAGTAATTCCAGCAATGAAAGCCTTCGACAACACATTTAGGCAAATATGAGCACACACACATCCTGCACATATGCAGAAATTTTTACCATTCAAACTGGGGACAATTTGCACCATTAATTCCAACTCTGTTTTATTCTAAAAGCAAAAAATGCCTGAAGTTTAACAGCATTAGCAAAATATTGGTTAAGTAGGTTCTGCAGAAAGAAAAATGAGCAAGCTCATTATCTGGAGGAAAAAAGAGAGACCGATGTTTACTTTCAATCGTATTGCTGCGCATTGAAGTCAGATGTATGAAATAAGCCACTATGAGGGCTGTTCAGTTCACAGTGAATACCACTGTTTAAATTACTGCTACATGCAGAAAACAGTTCTTAAAGAGAAAATGAGTCTTTTTATGAAATCCCAGCCGATTCCTCCATAAGAGAGTCATTACTGGACTCCTCCAAGTTCACCAAATCTTCATCATTTTCAGATGTTTCTGCTGGACGTTTGATACCCCGCTGTTGTGAAATGGACAGGATATATTTCATGTTGTAACAATTCCAGTCACAACTGCAGAAAGAAAGATCATAGAGAAGATTTTTGAGTGTCTCCTCAAAGCAGTGCTATCAAAAACTTCATTTGTATAAAATATAATCAAGATTCAAAAATACTCTTCTAGTTGAAATTGATTCACACACGAGGCTCATTATTTAACAATTATCACTGACCTCAATGGAACACAAAATGATTAAGTAATATGAACATCTGTCTCTGGTACTCGATCTATGATGTTTCACACATACAAGTCTCTGTTATTTAAATACAGGTATACCTTATGTAACAACATGGCTATGTTTGTGGACATTACTTCTTTAAACAAAAAAAAAGTACTGCAAGAAGAAATGACTTTTTTTTTCTTGTAGGAGCGACTTGAGGTACTGCAAGTTGCTTCTGGTGTGAGAGAATTGGCCATCTGCAAGGACATTGCCCAGGGGATGCCAGAATGTTTAATGTTTTATCATCCCATGGGAGGCTTCTCTCATGTCCCCACATGGGAAGCTAGAGCTTGACAGATGGGAGCTTACCCTGCTCCCCAGATTTGAACTGCCAACCAGTTCAGCCGGCACAAGGGTTTAACCCATTGCGTCACTGGGGGCTCCAAAATAATATGTGAACAATAAGGATAGGAGGTTCCTACATCATGAAAAAAACCACCAGTTCAACAAAAGTTTCACTCAGAACTAACAATATGCACACAAAAATATTTTGAACCTCCCAGAAATCCACTGAAATCTTCCAAAATGCATGCAAAGGTTTTTCTTTGTTACAGCAGCCTCAACCCCCACCCATTTTGGTGGTCAAACTTATATATCTATGCTTTTTAAAAAGAATGTGTGGTGTAGCTTATCTACTTTCTTTTTTCCCCTCACTGTTTTGCAATCACACATGCAGTGGATGTTTACCTTGCTTGTTATAGGAAGACAGGCATAGCTACAGTGGCATCGGCAAGACAGCAATCTGACCTTTCCAAACTCAAGGTTTATGGCATTGTTTACTACAAACATAATGCTATAAAACATAGATAAAAACCCGTGGTTCTCCAGCCCTCTTTAGCTATCCTCCCAATGCTAGTGTTGTGGGGGAAAACCCTTTTAAAAAAGACAGAATACAAGAAGAAAAATAGAGGCCAGATGGGTATTAAAAGGTTTTGTAAAAAGGTCTTTACTGTCAGAGGCTTTGTTAACTGATGTATGCCTTATATGTGTGAGTGC